TGAAATTGCACAGCTAGTGAGTGGCAGAGCTGGGATTCTAGGCAAGCTGCTGAGCAGAAACCTCTAGCCTCGTTTGCCTCTCCAGATGGCATGATCTGTGCACATGGGAAAGCGGCAGGGTCAGGAAAGGTGAAAGCCTTCTTACCTTAGGAGAGTCCCACCACCACCACTAAACAGAGGCCTTTCCTGGCCACAGACACACCAGATCTCTAACAAAACAGAGCCAGCATCTTCAAGTTAAGCAGACAGATATTCAGACCCAGTTCCTGGGTGGTCAAGGAAGTCAGCTTTCTTCTGAGAGGGCAGGTGTTTTAGTCCATTTCTCATTTAGCCAATCTCTGACCCCTACCAGGGCAAGAGTAGTCTTTCCCAGACACCATCCTGTAAGATGTAGCAGAAGCCAGTCCAATCCTCATATAACAGGAATGCTGCACCCAGCAGCTCCCTCTTGTAAAGTTATGATGCATGTCAGAAGCTTAAAGGTGAAAGGATATCCTCTTATAAAAAATAAAATAACCCTAGCATACATATATATTTATCTTGATACCTTATGTAACAATACCCTTAGAAAGCCATTGTTCTAGACCAGTGTCACCCTTGCAGTATAGAGGAGCATGTGTATTCTGTGTAGGTCGATTGTGGGCTTTCCCTGCTGTTTGATGAGGAGCTCCCTGAGCTCCTCCATGGAATGGGGAACATCACATCAGCCCTTCCCCTTTCCCTCCTGCACCCTGGAGGCCCAGGTGCAGGTAGGAGGCATACTAGGAATGAGTACTTGAGCAACTTGGGTCTGGCCCGGCAGCCATCCATCACAGCTCGGCCCCACCCCAGACCTCCAGAGTCGCGGGGCCCTGATGGTACAAGGCTCCAGATGCTCAGCAGATGCCAGGCCTGGGACTGAGGCCCTCTCTCCAAGGCCTTGGCTTGCTGTTCTGGAAGGTGATCCTGGCTGGCAGTCCTTCCCGAAGCCCCTAGTAGAGCAGTTGTCAGGCAGTTGCTGAGTTCCAGCTCCCCTCCCCAGCAGAGCCCAGTGATCTCATGCCTGTGCGATGCTCTCGCTTGGGGAGGAGATGGGTTACCTACCACTAAGGGCAGATGCCCAGGGCAGGGCAGCAAGGTCTGAGGCCAGGGTAGCAGGCAGGGTTCCTTCCCCTCAAACAGTCCTGGTACCCACTCTGCCTCCTTTGGGCTTCCTACACCTCAGGGTGTGGAGTTTACTCTCAGTGGTGGGACCTGATCCCCAGAACAACTTGGTACATACATCCTCTGAGCTTTGGCTGTCAGGCCCATGCATGTGGCACTGTCCTCCAGAAGAGGGGGGACATCAAGGAGAGAGGGTCTTATTGGCCGGGTCAACTGCCGGAGCCCCTATCAATGGCCTAGAGACCTCTGAACCTTGGGCTGCGGGGCAGGAAGTTTCAACTGTAGGGCCCTTTCCTTCCCAGAAGTTCTTGGGTTCTAAGTTGGGCTGCCATGTCCCAAGTACTGCAGGAAGAAGATGCTGGGAGCCCCCTGCCGGCCTGCCCAGGAAATTGACGGGGTAGAGGGGTACTTTCTGGAGCCTGGTGAGGTGTCCCTACGCTGTCCTCAAATGAGAGCAATGACACCACCCATCCCTCCCCACTTCTGTACTTCCCAGCCAAGTTACTTATCTTGTGTACCTGGCTTCATTTTTGATGGGGAATCCTGAACTGGCTGCTTGCAGCATGTCTTGGCCTTGGCCCTCCGATTCCCATACTCCACTGGGGACCCGCCTCTGCTTTCTCCTGCTCAGAGCCTGCCTGTTCCCTCTGTCCCTCTCTCTGCCACCTACAGTAGAAGGATTTGAGAGCAGGGTTGAGGAAATGGTCCCTGTAGCTCTGCTAGAACACTTGTCTAGTGGGCCTTGTGTGATGACCACTTGTATACCTAATCCTGAATTGTACCCCACATCTTTAAAATTAAAAAAAAAAGAACACTATACTGGGCCTTGTTTGCACCCAGGGAATCCAGACTCCCTGTCATCTCCCTATTTAGTCACCTTGACTTCTAACTGGATTAAGGCTTGATGTCACCCAGCTGGCTTGATGAGAGCCCCACAGGCGCTCTCCTGACTCCCAGCCCACAGAGAGAGGGAGGGGCCGAGGGAGGAAGGGAAACAGATCCAGCCACACCAAGGGACCTGGCCAAGGTTGGTTTCTGATCCAAAGCTTCACCAAGACCTCATGTTCAAGGTTGTTCAAGTGTCATTGTTCTTCTGTAACAAGGCAGGGGTGACTTGTGGTATTGTGCTGGGGTCCAGGACAAGTAGAGGAGTCACTGGAGAAGTAGCCTGGGATCAGATGTCAGGGCCTGGGGCTCCCAGCGGCAGCATCACCCCTCTCCCTTTCCCTTCCCTCCTGTTCTTCTTGTCCTTGTCCTTACTAAAGACCATGAGCAGGGAAGTGGGAAGCCTTTGTAGAAATTGGAAGCAGGAGCATGGCTCAGCCTGTGAGCTCCCAGCTATTCAGTTCTTGAAATCTGTGGGGTGGACGTGGGCATGAGGGGACAGCTCAGAGTCCCCAGTGCAGTGTGCTCCTTCACCCTGCCTTCCTGGTACCACCTCTTAGCCTGCCTCTTCAATAGCAATTCCACTGTGGGGCCATGCTGCCCCCTTCCGGCACACTGCAAAATGCAGCCCATGGTCAGTCCTGAGGCCACAGGTGTTCCCTCTTCACCCAAGTCTGCAGCTGGACTGGTGGGGGAGATGGCGCCACGGAACATCCTGGGTGCTTCTGCCCACAAGGATTCTCGGGCTACATGGGGAGGGGAGTCCACAACTGTATCTGACACAAAGTAGTCTTCATCTAGTGAGCTGACCATCGAGTGAATGAAAGTATGCATCTGAAGCATTTTGGTGATGATGGCCTGACTAAGGAGACACCATAGATTATCTCTAAGATTTATTGAGCAAGAACTGATATTCCACTTGGGTGGACAAGATCTAACTGTGAAATCCAAATAAGAATCCAGTGGCACTAGATAGGGACACAGGTGTCCTGACCCTAGAGGTAAGTGCCTGTGGAAGCCTTCAGCCAGGCCTTCAGGGAAAGGATTGGAAGTGAGCGAGGAACAGGGGTAGATGACAGATAGGAACTTTAAGACATGTGGGGGAGACTCCTGGGTGGTCATTTGGGGGGCAGATGGAGCAACAGGAAAGCAGTGCCTGGATCTTGAGGACATATGATGTGCTTGGAACAGGGTCTGCCGTTGCAACACATTATCTCTGTCAGCCTTCACGAGTGTCCTGTGATCAGATGCCATTGTGATCCCTGTCTTACATCTGAGAAGGAGAATTGGGAGAAGTGTTGACTTGTCCAGGGTCCAACAGCAGGAACATAGTGGAGCCAGAATTCAAATCAGGGCTCAGGAGACTTGTGGTGGTTTCAGGAACTTGAATGCAAGGGTTTCCAGCAGGAAATGATGGGCCTGGGGGTGGGTGGCTACTTAAAAGGCTCTTCTGCAATCCTGGGGTAGAACAGGGAAGCTCCTCATTGTACATGCTGGGTGTCCTGTGGGGTAAAAGGGCCAACTAAGGCCTGATCCTTGTGGTCACATATTTGAGCTATCACCCTTCCCTGCTGTGTGCCATGGGCTGCCCAAAGCAGTTCCCACACAGGAGGGGGTCAGGGCTGGGTCTCTTCCTCCATATTTCTGCCCTGGCAGGTCAGTCTGGGTGGAAGAGGGGTTCTGCTCACTTGGGCTTTCTGTCCCTGCCTGTGGCTGCATGAGCTTGGCCAGATGGCAAGGCTAACCCCACAACACTCCCCACACCTCCAGGAAGAGAACGCTCATCCCAGGCCACCAGGTGCTGCCAGGCCTGTGGGAGATTCCTCCCTGACCTCTTCCTGCTCCAGGGGAGATGTTTGGGGCTTGGCATGGAGCCTGGGTAAAGACAGGGAGGGCAGAGTCTCCCCAATTTGTGCAAAGTCTAGTATGACCTTGTCTCTTCAAGGGAGAAACTTTCCCCAAGCAGGGGTCCTGGTCACCACAGCACCAGGACATGCCTAAGCACCCATCTCGGAGGCTTCAGCTCTTGTGCACATGTGTGATCCACTTGTCATACCAGGGGTGGGGAAAGGGAAAGCAGTGTATGACCTCCTGCCCCAGATTTGGTATGTGTGGTAGGGGGTTGGTGCTGGCCTCAGGGCTGAATGATGCCTCCCCCTCTCACCCCGTGGCCTGGCTCCTGAGTCTCCTGGCACACTTCTTCCACCTCTCATGGGTCACTGCTTCTCCAGCCTGGAACCTTGGCCTACTTTGTCCCTTCATTTGGAGCCGTTTCCATCCCTCCCAACTGTTGAATCTAATTATTCCCAAGTGAAGCAATAACTACTGAAAGAGTGACTCTCCAGGGTTTGTTCACCCCAACCACAGGCTTGCATTGTCCCCAAAGTGAGGGTTTTCCCTCTCACTGTCTCTGGCTCTCCTGTTCATCCTAAGAGTTCCTGAGCAGGAAGCTCGTCTCTGCAAGTCCCCAGAGAAGTGACCCCAGCATTCTTGGACCCTGGGAGTCCTGGTTCTACTCACCACTGCCACACACCTCAGCGAGCCCTCTGAGCAGGGGGTGACCTGGCGCATGGGTGGACAGTGCTCTCTTACAGCCCAGAGTTCTAGGAGTCTAGTCACTCAGCAGAGACCTTTACTGAGCACTTTCTCTGGGTTGAGCAGGCTGCTGAATTCCAGGGTTCAGTGGAGAGTTAAAGACACTGTCCCTGCTCTCGGGCCCTGGCTAGTAGGGGAGATAGCACAGGAGCCAACCAGTCAGAAGAGAATGGCAATGTAAACCACTGGTGCAGGGGAGGGTATAGGGGCAATACAAAAGAACAGAACTTGGAGGACACATTAGATTGGGTGATTGGGACGTTGACTTTAAGCTGAGACATGAAGGGGACAAGAGAGCCAGGCAGACAGCATGGGGAAGCCTGCACAGCAAGTCCCCTAACCCCTGCGATCCCTCCTGTCTCTTCTACCCTCTGCAGACTCGTGGAGGAGTTCATGCTCTTGGCCAACATGGCGGTGGCCCACAAGATCTATCGCGCCTTCCCTGAGCATGCCCTGCTGCGCCGGCACCCCCCACCCCAGACAAAGATGCTCAATGACCTGATGGAATTCTGCAACCAGATGGGGCTCTCCATGGACTTCAGCTCTGCAGGAGCCCTCAATGTGAGTGTCATGCAGGGTGAGGGAGCCCTGCTTGGGGGAAAGGGAAGAAAGTCCTGGAGGGTGGAGTCCTGTGGCCTCTGCTTCCCCCAGGGCCCTTCCCCCTCCAGCCAGGTCTCCCCTGCAGGGGAGGAGGGAATATCAGAGGACCTGGCAGTGGGCTGTGCTCCTTCACCGGGACTGGGTCAAGAAGAGGGCCCTGGAGGCACTGCTGTGGGCAGAGGTCCTGTTGCTAGGAAAGAGCTATTCTTGGGCCCAGAGGCTTTCAGTGTAGAGGCTAGAATTATAGGAATCCAGGAAACATGTTCATCTACGTGGTTTCAGGTGCTTCTTGCCTGAAGCTAAGCCTATGGGGCTAAGGACCCCATGGCCTTGGCTGTGATCCCACAGGAGGGAGGCTTCTCATCTAGGCTCCTACCCTGGGAGAGGCAGAGAGGTACCTTACCTTAGACCAGAGAGCAGGAACTTAATCTGTCCAGACCAGCCAGCTAGACATGGAAGGGACTGACCTCAAGCCCAGTATGGCCACCCAAGCGAGGCTGGGTCCCATAGCCCACCCTACAGATCTCTAAAGTTGGGTATGACATGATCAGTGGGTTCCATCGGCCCAGATCCTCTCCCCAAGCTGACCCCATATCACACAGGTTTCTGGGATTTGCTTCTAGAAAAGTCTGACCAAAACATTTGGAAATGACAAGTACTCACTGGCCCGGAAGGAGGTGCTCACCAACATGTGCTCCCGGCCCATGCAGGTAAGGAAGGCCTAGCCTGTGTCCTTGCTGCTCCCAGGATCACCCACTGCCCTGGACCTGTGACCTCCACATGCATGCACATAGCCTACCATCATCCCTGCTCTACTCAGGTCCTGGCTGGGTAGAGAGTAGCTGCCCCCTCACATCTAGCAGGGTGGAAGAATGCTCCTGGGGGGTGGGAGAAGAGGCTGCTCCAGGCAGCACCTAGGACAGGTGGGCCCTGAGCTCCTTGAAGAGTTTGACCTGTTGCCTCCTGCTCAGACTTGCTCTAGCTCAGCATGCTCTGGAGCTAAAGGCTTCCCAGACCATGTGTCTGGCTGAGATCCAGAGGGGAGAGAGTGTGTCACGTGGCTGCCTGCCCCAGGGAGCATTTGTCGGACTCCACTCCAGCCTGTGGAGTCCAGGCTTAGTAGTTGGTCTCTGGCCATCGTGGGAGGGAAGAAGACCCAGCCGTGGGTCTGGGCCCATGCCTGCAAACAGGTAACAGCCTGTGGGCTAGACGGAAGGGCTTGCTCCTGGCTATCCCAGCCCTCTAGGCTGAACTTAGCCCCTGCAGAGCCTGAGCGTCCTGGGGACAGGACATACCCTTAGTGGACACTCAGGTCAGCAGAAGCTACAGATACTGATGGGTCAGCTCTGGGCCCTGCCCACCCCAGGGCAGTGACAGCTCATTATTCAAGCCTTGATCACTTGGTTAATTCAACTGTTGTCTAAAACCAGATGGTCTTCACCAGCCTCAGCTGATTTGTGTTCTGACACCTCAAGCTCTGCTAGGAATGGAGCCATCAGGGCCTGCTTGGACCCAGCTGCCCTTACCTGTCCCCAGTCACAAGTGTCAGCCCGGCCAAGTACCTGCGGCACCCACAGCAGGGAGGGGCTGTGCCATACCCACTGGACCCCGCCTCCCCTGCACTCCACTGGCTCCAGGCCAGCCTGGCAGAGAAGACACAGCAGCCTCTGAGTCCCAGAACTGCCACTGGCTGTGCCCAGCACGGTCTCCAGCCACTGCCCCAGTCTCTAAAGTCATCTACCTCCAAGGTCAGAATAGCCCTGGAGCTCCAGGGATAGGAGTCCTTTCCTGAGTCAGCCAGCCTGAAGAAACTGAGTTCTCCTGGCCTTACTGACCAGTGACCTTAGAGGCACCCTTGCCTGTGGATCTGATGGCAGGCCGTCTCTGGACCATGTAGAGTGTCCCTGTCCTCTTAGCCCCATGAACTGAGGTGGGGACAAGAGAAAGGGCAAGGGAAGCAGCAGCAACAAGCACAAAAATATGTGAGAGGTCCATTCACAAGTGAACTGCTGAGACAGACACCAGAGCTGTCCCAGTGATGGCTGGTCCCTTTGAGAAAGCCATGGTTCCCACCCATCCCACCTTATCCAGAGACACCTCCGCCAGTCAGAAGGGAAGCTAGTGCCTTTTGTCCTCCTTGCTGCAGGTCATCTGGGCAGCTGGGCCACTGCTGAAAAAAAAGCCCAGACATGGCTCTGAGTAGAGGTTTCACCTAACTCCTCCAGAGCCTTTCTGGGGACAAAACCCAGGGCCCAGCAGAGGCTGGAAGGAAAGTGGAGTTAAGGAGCCTAGTAGGTCACTTTGGATTTCAGAGCTGATGCCCAGGGTCACTGGAGCCAGCTGCCCAGGGCCAAGAGCACAGAAGGGTTTCAGGAGGCGAAGTGAGCTTTGAGCAGTCATGAGTGTGACCTTGGCCCTCTGCAAGGGACTTGTTCACTTGCTCCTAGGTAGCAGCAACAGCCTTGGTACCCAGCCCTGAAAGCTCAGGGACCTCAAGGTGAGCAGCTTCAGGGACTGTGGCCCTAGCAGGGCTGGGCTGTGCTCCTGTCCCTAGAGAGGACAATGTCTCTTCCTGGCCTGGACTGTATGGACTCAAACCTCTGTGTCTCGGCCCCTGGGTAGGTCAGGTGGTCAGGCAAGAGAAGGATGGAGGCTGTCAGGCGGGAAACTGCCTCCTTTGGCTACTTTGGGGTCAGGTGTTGGGATATAAAAGTGGCTTCAGCTCAGCAGGATCAGGGCCAAAGGGAATGACATCTGCTCTGATCAAAGGTAGACCTGGGTCTGAGAGGAAAGGCCAGGAGCCTACAGCACAAGTTGCTCTAGGCAAGTGACTGTGTCCTGGGCCTTCTTGCCTCCTCCCATTCTGGCTAGTTGGGATGCTGGACTTGGCCTCCAGCCTGTATAGCATCCTCAGCTTCTGCTTGTGCCCCAGCAGACAGCTTCTGCAGCTCCTGGTCCTGCATGGCCACAGGCTTCCCCTTCTTTCTTCCTGAGCCAGAATAGCAGCCCCAGCCTTGTCCTGGGGAGGCAGGCAAGAAACTATTCCCTCTGCATCATGCTTGGCAGGGTTCATGGGGGGATCAGTTCCTGTCCAGCTGCCCTGACACATCAATACAAGGCCTGCCCCTCCCCAGGGGCTTGGCAGCCTTTCCCACAGAACTCTGAGGGAAGGAGACCTCCCAGCGTCCTGAGGGTTCCTAGAACAAACTCCTGTCCTCAGCAGGGTAGAGCTGACCAGGGTGTTCTTAGTACTGTTGCCATTGGTGGTCTGGGAGACTTGGGCAAGGCCAGCATATGTCTCCAGGAGATGGACATTCATACCCCTTGGCTCTGCCCGCCCTCCTTGTGCAGAAAGGCCTCTAACCCCGGTCCTGCCTAGCTTTGCACAATGGCCTGTGGCCTTTCAGGTCTGTCATGCCAAGACTGCCCAAGGCAAGGCTCTGGGTTGTACAGGCCCTCTAAGCCTGACTGGGCAGCTCTGTGCCTGCCAGGCTCTGTGAACCACCCCCACCCCTGCAGATGGCGCTGTACTTCTGCTCGGGGTTGCTGCAGGACCCAGCACAGTTCCGGCACTACGCGCTCAACGTGCCCTTGTACACGCACTTCACCTCTCCCATCCGCCGCTTCGCCGATGTCCTGGTGCACCGCCTCTTGGCAGCCGCGCTAGGTGAGGGGTGCAGTGGGGGACAGGGTGGGCCTGGGCCATCTCAGAGGTGTCTACCCCAGAGTGGGTGCCTGGTGACTTGAAGCCACTCTGCTGGGCTTGTGGCTTTCCAAGAGTTACGCAGCCTGAGCCCAGGGAAGCCTGGCCTAGAAACTCTCCCTGAGTGTGAGGTGCTGCAAAAGCTACAGTGGGCTTGCTGCCAGCACTAAACATAGCCAGACCAAGGATGCTGACTGTGGCAGGCCACCTTCTGCAGCTCTGGGCACTGGGTATGGAAGTCCTAATCTGATGCCTAGGCTGCTGCACCACATGGCCCATACCCAGTCATGCTCCTGCCTCCTCGAACACAGACCCCACCAGCAACCCCACCCCTGTCCCCACTCCCCAGGCTACAGGGAGATGCCAGATGTGGAGCCTGATACCCTGCAGAAGCAAGCTGACCACTGCAACGACCGCCGCATGGCATCCAAGCGCGTGCAGGAGCTCAGCACAGGCCTTTTCTTTGCTGTCCTAGTCAAAGTAAGTCCTTCAGCCTGGTGCCCCTGGCATCCCTCTGCCCCACCCCCTCCTAAGCACTTGCTCACCAGGAGCCCTAAGGAGCTCCAGGCAGCCCTGGAAGATGACATGGCTGGGCACTGTCTCTGCAGGAGAGTGGCCCCCTGGAGTCAGAAGCCATGGTGATGGGTGTCCTAAACCAAGCCTTTGACGTGCTGGTGCTGCGCTATGGGGTGCAGAAGCGCATCTACTGTAACGTGAGTGTGCAAGGCAGGCGTGGCAGGCCAAGCTGTCCATGTCCACACTGGAGGGAAACAAGCTATAGTGGATCACAGTCTGCCCCTAACTCACTGTGGGTTACATAAGCCTGCAGCCACAAAGGGTACAGAGCCCCTGACCCTGATTTCCCATCTCTGCCAACAAGCCCACCTGATAGGCCCTGTTCACACACACAGTTTTCCCACTAGGGATGTGCATGTCAGGTCCAGGGTAGGGAGGACCCCTTCCCCAAGGACCCAGGCATGCAGAGAACAGGCCTCTCCATGAACAGTATAATATAGCAGGGTATGTAGACTTTAGGGACTGTGTTTATAGGAATGTGAAGGAAGGAAAGGCCAGGGAATGGTTCATGGCTGCTCTGGAGGCTATATACCCTGAAGAGAACAAAGAGAACTGTTCTTGCCTCGGCTCCTACCCTGGGTGGCTTTTTATTCATGGTTGTCTCCAAGGGGACAATGGACCTGTCCTAACACTGGCTGAGGGGACAGGCTCCAGCCAGCCCTATGATCTGCAGGTCACCTTTGCTCCTGGCTTTGAACTTCCTGACATTCAAAGAACTTGGGGACAAGAGAGTCATGTGGAATCAACATGGTATCCATAAAATGGAGCAGAACAGAAGAGGAAGTATCTAATCCAACTGAGAATCCTCTGGACTCTATCCTGAAGTTCACTGAGCCGAAGGGAAGTTCATATCTAGGCCAGCCCTGCAGTGGGCCCAGGCCCTGCCTGCATTGACAGGCTGACACCAGCAGGGGGCGGGACCATCACCTCCAGGATGTTCAATCCATCCAGCACCATGTCAGTGCAGACAGCCCTGTGCAGACCCACAACGAGCCAGAAGAGCAGAGAGCCCTGGCCCCTTCCAGCCCCTGCCCTTTGGTCTTTCTTATATGCTGCCTCAGCTGAAATTGAAGCTGGTCAGAGGCAAGGAACCAGCATAAGGGTGGTCAAGCAGCTAGAGCAGGTGGCAGGGCAGGAAGTTCCCTCTAGTCAGGCAAAGGTGGGGTGAGGCAGAGCGCTCTCTCCAAGTAGCGAGCTGTCCAGAGGGGTGATTAGGAGGCAGCAACTAGAGCCCAGGCCTGAGGACTTGTGTACACCCCAGGCACTGGCCCTGCGGTCCCATCACTTCCAGAAGGTGGGCAAGAAGCCGGAGCTCACGCTGGTGTGGGAACCTGAGGACACCGAGCAGGAGCCGGCCCGTCAGGTCAGACCCCCACTCTGTTCCGTCACCCCCCAAGTCTTGGTGAGCCCTCCTTGTGCCTCCTGAGATGTGCCCCCCATTCCCTCATCTGTGCCCCTGGGTTGCCTCAGCACTACTGGCTTCCAGGTAAGATTTCTAGACCCCAAGCCAAAGCTCTTCCAGGGCACCCAGACCCCTCCTTGTGGCCCTGTTTTCTGACACTGCCTTCTGTCCTTTAGGGATACCCACTGTGAGGAGCGGCAGACCTCCTGCCTGTCCCTCCAAAGCAGGCATTCTTAACTTTGGGTGTCCTTTTGAGAACTGACGAGAACTGTGACATTATACCCAAGAAACTGCAATGATCAGTTTTCACTAATAACATGCCCCAAAGGCCAACCTGGGACCCCGGTTGTGTTTCCCAACCCTTGTAAGCATTCAGATATGTCAGGTACAAGTGTCATCTGGGTTTTTTAGTCTTCCTCAGACCCAGGCACTAATCCAGGAGCAGACTCAGTTACAGGTGGGCCTGCAGAAGCTTCCAGAGGCTGCGGGAAGGGGTGCGGGGCCCTGCACAAACAGAAGCAGAGTCAGGCATTGACCACTGGCCTATTGTCTCCTTATGGCCGAACTCTGCACAGGTCATCACCATCTTCAGCCTGGTGGAGGTGATCCTGCGGGCCGAGGCGTCGGCCCTTAAGTACAGCGCTGTCCTGAAGCGGCCTGGCACCGAAGGACTCCTGGGCCAGGAGGAAGAGGAGAAGGAGGAGGTGGAGGAAGAGGAGAAAGAGGATGCAGAGGAGGAGGAGGAGGAGGAGGAGGAAGAGGCCCACGATGAGCCTAAGGACTGAGGCACTGGCCTCACCACCTGAGCCCAGCCCATCCCACCTGCCCCACCCCCACTGGCTTTTAGGAATAGGACCTGTTGACACCAAAGGGGCTTTTTAATTTGGTTTTTAACAACTCAGGGGTTTGCTTTTCTTTTTATTTTTACATTTTATTTTATTTTATCAGCTCAATTTTTAATGAACTCCAGGGCAGAGGGTGGGGCTGGACAGAAGACTGAGGCCTGGGCAGCACTGACTCTTCAGTCACAGCAGGCTTCGGTCGCCCTGGGTGACTGACCCCTTTCTGCCCAGTCCCCACTGCCTTCCCCTACCCAGAAAAGTGGGGGTTTCAGCAAATCACTGTCATGGAATAAAATCAAGTGTGAAGTGCTTTCTGCTGTGGGGGCCTCTGGGAATCCTGGGCAGCAGAATGTCCCCTGCATCTAGGGCAAGGGACGTGGCTTAGGCTCCACCCTTCACAGCTGAGCTGGGGTCACCACCCAGAACTTCCTGTCAGTTCCAGCATGATTCAGAGCTGGCTGCAGGGCAGAATGATGCCGGAGTCATATTCAGCCTGATTAAAAATGTAATCAGTGAATCAGCCGGGCGTGGTAGCGCATGCCTGTAATTCTGGCTACTTGGAAGGCTGAGGCGGAAGGATCTCTGGAGCCCAGCAGGTTGAGGCTGCGGTGGCCGGGAGTGGCCACTGCACTCCAGTCTGGGCGACAGAGTGAGACTCCAACTCAAAAAAAAAAAAAAAATGCAATCAGTGTGCAGGACTGGGAGCTCACCTGTCACCCTGACACATGTGGCTGTGTTCATCCCTCCCCCAAGTCTTCTCTGCTGCAGGCCCCTCATGCCAGGGGGTGGGGGGGGAATGATTCCTGTAATACTCCCTGCTCCCAGTCCCTAGGCCAATGCCTCAAGTGGCCCTATCCACACCCTTGATATGAGTTGTTGCCTCAGCCCCTCCAGTCCCAGTCCTATGCTCTGACAGCAGCAAGAGAACCTGGGGACAGAATCAGGCCTGTGCCTGGGGTAGGGGAGGGGGCCCACTCAGGGAGGGCAAAATGGGCTTTCCCACCCAGGAAGGGCAAAATGGGCTCCTGGTGTTTCAGCCAGGCCAAGTCACCTGCCCAGCATCCTGAGCACCCACGGATTCCCTGAGCCTTGGGAACCTGGGGCGGAGCTGACAGGCCACTGGGCAGCACAATTCCCAGCCAGCCTGATTTCAGCCTGCTCTCCTTTTCCCCAGAGAACCTTAGTTTGACTTACCCAGAGATGAGGGATATCAGAAACTAGGATGAAAACCATGGTGACCATGGCCTCTGTTCACTGCACTGTTTCCTGGAGGGTCTGGATTAACAAGCTTATTTGATCTGGTTACAGTGAGTTTTCTTCAAGGAAAAACTCAAGATGGTCCTTGTCAGAGCGCCTCACAGAGCCTAGATTCCAGTGACCAGAATCGGCTGTTTTGCCACATCAGACAGGGCTGCCAGAGGGAACCAAACACATATCACAGCCACACCTGGCCTCAGGTCCACTCCCTCCTCCCCTCCTCAGCCACTTGGGGAAGCCCTCAGGCTCTGCATCCTTCCACCGCTAAGATGTCCCAGAGACCACCATCACTCCTATTTGCTCATCTCCAGAAACTTCTGCCAGAACCAAGTATCTGCAAGGACAGACAGATATGGGTCTGGTACTTTAACTGCTGGGTACTTCCCTGGCCCAGGCAGTCCGACTGTGAGAGCCACAAGGGCGGTACATCCCAACCCTGTCCCTATCTCCTCAACACTTCTCCACCTTCTATGGAACAGGCGACCAACCTGTCTGGCTAGGCTGGCCCTGTCCCCAAGGGCCTGGGAGCTGTTGGCAGAGCAGATGCTGGCCTGGAAGTTTCTCTAGACAGGCTGGCCTCACCCTGCTGCCCCTAGGACATGATAGCACCCTAGAGCCCTGGAATCCATGGCAGCCCTAGCCCACCCCACCCCATCTAACAGAAGTGGAAACCACATCCATGGGAGTCAGGTCTCTGCCCAAGGCGATGCAGCAAGATTTTGCCTGGCCAGGACCCAGCTCAGGCCCGAGCACCCACCATACTTAACTGCCATGGGGACTCAAAATCAATGGCCCGATGACCTCCCCCCTCAACTCAAGCTGAGTCCCTCATCTTCATTCACTCATTCAAGGAACATCATTGACTGAATTCAGTGCCATGCATTGGCAGGAAAGCTGTCTACGGGAGTAGGGGGTGCACAGCCTCTTTTATGGCCCCACCCCAAGGGGACCATTGACAGAGAGGTGACCAGACACTAAATGTCATCAGAAGGAGTTCTCAGTCATTTTCCTTGGCTGTTCCATAGCAGCTGCAGGCCAGGCCACGGCATAGAGCAGCACTCTTTTTCTCAAGGGGACACCATGGGTCACTAAGGTGGGGAGACAGACATAGACACAATCACATGATGGGGCTCTGGCAAAGGTCAGAGATCAGTGAGTGTGTTCCCAGCCCTGCCAGGTCAATATCAGCTCCCTGGAGTCTGGGGCAGATGGCTCAGGCAGTAGCCCAGCATGGAGAAGAGGTTGAGGCTTCCAGAACTTGTAGCCACTCCTGGAGAGAGATTGGCACCCTCCCTGGTTGCAGTTAGGAAAGACCTCAGGAAATAACTGGAATCATCCCAGCCTGGGGCAGCCATCTCCTGGTCCCCTCAGGAGGATGTTACCCTGTAGAAGGAAAGGTCCTGAGGGACTGTGGTTGGAAGGATGGGAAAGGAGCTGGGGATCAGAGGTCAGGCCTCTGTGGAGGCTGTACCAGATGCCACTGCAGCTGCTCCCACCAAGCAGTGCTGCTGAGAGGCAGGAAACTGGTGGCCAGCTAGGAGGGGCTGCGATCATCCAGGTGCCATGAGGAAGGCTTGAGAGGGGACAATCCAGAGAGGTCTGGCATGGATGTGTGCCAACATCACAGATGGGGATGGGCTCCCCATGGAGAGGTGAGGCCTGAGAGCACTGTAGCGAGGAGGGCCAGGGACAGCACACACAGCAAAGGCCAAAGGCTGGGTTCCTGCCAGGGACAGGAATGTCTCAAAGTTCACTCGCTGCAAGGAGTTCAGAGGGTGAGGCCCCTGATGAGCCACTGGGCCCCACAGATGGACCTCACAGATAGGCAAGCCCAGGAGGCTCAGTGGAGGAAATAGATTAAGTTAGGCCTTAGGAGAGCCAGGACCCTTCCAGGCCAGAGGAGCCAGAGCCTGGCAAGGATAGAGAGAGCTCGGAGTTCTGGAAGAGTCAGGGGTGGCCCTGGTACCCTGGTCCTGCTTAGCTGTTGCTGGGGCCAAAGCCTGACTGGCTGAAAGTCATTACAGGCTCTGGATAAAAAAATGCAGAGGGACTGGACGTGGAGGCACATGCCTACAATCCCAGTACTTTGGGAGGCTGAGGGGGGAGGATTGCCTGAGCCCAGGAGCTCAAGAACAGTCTAGGCAGCGTAGCAAGACCTCATCTCTACAACTAACATTTTTAAAAAATGAGCCAGATGTGATGGCACATGCCTGTAGTCCCAGCTACTCAGGAGGCTGAGGCATAAGGCTTGCCCGAGCCCAGGAGGTCGAGGCTGCGGTGAGCCATGATTATGAGTGACTGAGACCACAACTAAAAAAAATAAATAAATAAAGTGCAGAGGAACATGCTAAGACAAGAAAGGTAGAATCTTTTTTTTTTTCTTTTGAGTTGGAGTCTCACTTTGTCGCCCAGACTGGAGTGCAGTGTCACGCTCCCGGCCACTGCAGTCTCGACTGCTGGGCTCCAGCGATCCTTCTGCCTCAGCCTTCCAAGTAGCTGGAACTACAGGCGCGCACTACCACACCTGGCTAATTTTTTTGATTTATTGTAGTGATAAGGTCTCGCCAAGTTGCCGGGGTGGGTCTCGAACTTGCGGGCTCAGGCAATACACTCACCTCAGCCTCCCAAAGGCAAGGATTACAGGCTGAGCCACCAAGCCCGGCTGAAAGGTAGAATCTTAAGGTGTACACTCAAAGTGAGGAAAGGAAATGAAAACAGCACTTTTGGAAGCTGGAAATCAGAGAACAAGTGAATGGTTCCTGGCAAAACTGACCTGAGAAAAGCAAATCTAAAACCAACCCCAAAGAAAGGGGGAACTACTCTGATCTATACCACAGAGCCCGCAAGCAGCACCAAGGACCTCTGGGCTAGGGTGGAGAGGAATGCAAAATAACTGTTGCAAATATCTTTTTTTTTTTTGAGTTGGAGTCTCACTCTGTCGCCCAGACTGGAGTGCAGTGGCTGCTCACAGCCACCGCAGCCCTCGACCTGCTGGGCTCCGGCGATCCTTCTGCCTCAGCCTTCCATGTAGCTGGAACTACAGGCGTGCGCTACCATGCCCAGCTAATTTTTTATTTATTGTAGAGATGAGGTCTCGCCAAGTTGCCCAGGCGGGTCTCGAACCCGCGGGCTCAGGCAATCCACTCACTTCAACCTCCCAAAGGTGCAGGATAACAGGCTGAGCCACCGAGCCCGGTTTTGTTGCAAATACCTTAAACAGGCAGGCAGCTCCCTAGATCCTATCTTGGTGTGCAGGGCCCAGCAAGTGCCCCAACCATAAACTGGCAGAGACTGGAGAACCATCATCTCCTGCAGAGGCAAAGCAGCCAAATTCTCTCTTCCGCAGTTATAAATCTAGTTCTGTGGAGTTGGAACTACTCAGCATTTTGATTATAGTGGTTACACAAACCTCTTCAGGTGATAAAACTGTATAGAACCTCATACACATGAATACATGCACACACATGAATACATGCACATGAATACATGTCACACTAAGGAATTCTGGATAGATATCTTGTTATCATGCAATGGGCTTGCTATCCAACATGCATAGAAACCTATGACACCAGCTTTTGAGAAAAAAGACTTTATTGTGAAGCCCACCCACAAGGAGACAAGAGGCATGGCTCAAATGTGTCTTCCTGATTTGGAGTCCGGGGCAAGTTTTTGTTTGTTTTGTTTTTGTTTTGTTTGAGTTGGAGTCTTACTCTGTCGCCCAGGCTGGAGTGCTGTGAGACATTCACGGCCACTCCAGCACCAACCTGCTGGGCTCCGGTGATCCTTCCCCCTCAGCCTTCCAAGTAGCTGGAACTACAGGTGCGTGCTATGATGCCCAGCTAATTTTTTTTGTATTTATTGTAGAGACGAAGTCTTGCCAAGTTGCCCGGCCTGGTCTCGAGCCCGCGGACTCAGGCAGTCCACTCACCTCAGCCTCCCAAAGTGCTGGAATTACAGGCTGAACCAGAAAGCCTGGCCCGGGGGCAAGTTTTCAGGGGTCAAAGGAAAGGGAAAATATTAAGAATGCTGGCTTAGTAGGGTCCGATTGGAGGG